CTAGAATCGACTAGGGTTGTTTCGATTCGGTGGAAGGAGTCACAGTGCGCAGGAGGATATCAAAGAACCAGTAACATTTGTTGTGTACGGCAAATCTGAGGAAGAAAGTAAAAGAATAGAAGAAACTGGTCACGAGAAGGAATTTACTTCCAGTAGATAATTGGCAGGAATAATCCCGTGACAGAATTGAAAATCACCTCGGTGTCTGGTGGAATTAGTGAGCAGATATATAACTTCGTTACTTTTATATGTGCAAAACAATGCCTGAAATTTAAAGATGATTAAGCAGGCACGGACGCAACTTCAACCAATAAGAATAACACCATTCAGACGCCATATGATCGTGAGTTTTTCCATCAGGAATCTAATTCCTAACTCATACTCGAAGCACTTGGTGTGGATTTTCCTGCATGGTGCGCTCGTGATAAAAGGAAGACGCATGAAGCCATTATTGTGGACTCCGAACTCAACATCCCGTTGTATCACGCAGCACATTTGTATAAAATGTCATTTTGGTGATCCTGAGGACCGAACGCTGACAGAATAGCAGCAAGATACACACTTGCCACTGGTTATTCTTGGTAGCCGCGAGGAAAACTGAATGTGCCGTAATACATGATGGTAATTACATGATAACAAACTTAGTGAAATGAATTAGAAGATAATGAGCAGTGCTTATGCTATGAACTATATCATCGGCATATGTACTTGGCCATCACCTACATTGGACATCATATAAATAAATAAATAAATAAATTTATTCTCATAGTACAGTACATGAGGGACGCCAGTTTACAGGCATCATCAAATTGTTACAGAAATAGAACCATATAATTCAATCACAATTTACAGGCAGTAGCAAGATATGCTTTACATGTTAGCTGGAGATTATACATACACTTGATAAATGTTAATCCCAGTAGTATAAAACAGCCTTTTCACTTATATACAATCATTTCTGTGCAAAGTTGGAAAAATCTGCTAGGTTGTCAGTGAGTGCAACAAATCAGGAAATACAGAAGTATTGTCTTCGCATTAACAAAGACAACCAGGTCTTTGGTGGATGGATTATAAGTGCCTGGGAAAAAAATAAAGCTTGAAGTAAATATTCATACATAACTTTGTTGTGTGCAGAGTCCTCGAATTATAGTTCATTGTTGTGTTATTTTGTGTTATTTACTTCATGACTGCTTCACTGTGACAATTCTCATGATGTTGTACATAAGTCACATAAATGTTCAGATTGATTGTGCTGATAGAGCGTTTCTAGACACAAGCATTCCATAAAAAGTACAGTGGGGGCAAAGTTGAAGATATGGCTGGAAATACAACATACCCACTTTTACTGATTCGATTGAACGCACCACGAGGATTCCAATCAGTTTTTCAATTAACCCAAGTCAAATTCCAACCATTAAATATGCTAGAATGACATCGTTGTAGTTGCTACAGGAGCCGCCCGAATAATCCTTGAGGAGACAGGCTTGCAGTCTTCCACCAAACCGAAATGAAATCGAATTGTTCGAAAACATCGACAAAATCTAAAACAAAACCGAATGGTTACAAGTAAAATTATGTTATAAACAGAATTTTGACGTAACGAAGGATTATTGTGCTTCAAAACTGAGGTTGTCCCGCGTTCAAAAGCGAAATTAGTCACAGCCAACGGAAGTGTGCATCCAAACATAAAGGATACATAGGTCCAAAATGAACCACAAACGTTCTGTTTAGCACAAGAAAATTTGTAAAATGGTATGTATAGCGCAATACTAGACGTAACATTCCCCTCCAAAAGAACATTAGTTTCTTTTCCAAACAGTCAATGAAATAATATTTGCAATAATATTCATTCATCTATGTAAATTATTTCACAGAACTCGAAATAAGTAGAAGCAAATCACGTGTGCTCCCTGTAACTAAGCAAGCAATCCTTGCACGACACATGTACAAATATACGCCTAACTAGTACACGGAGCTCTTTGTTACCAGGACTCACACCAGTATGCCTAGAAAACGTCCCAACGAGCACTGTTACCGTTGGCTTTCAGGAGACATACATTCCTTATATAGCTTGCTAATGATTCCTGAGCCATCTTCACCTCCAATCGTCTAACTGGGGCATCTTTACTAGGCACCGCCCATTGCAAAAGCCTGAGTTGCCAGTGACGACTCCCAGTAAAGTCCGATACTAACATAACTAAATCTCCTTGACTTAAAGTTTACTGATGTATTATGTTGAGATCAGTGATATATTTATTCCATTTTTTCAGCAGTCTTATTGTAGTTTTATAACAGGAAAGGAATTTGATGGCGGATATGAAAACTAGATAAGGTCATGCTGGATTGTTTAACTGCATCAAATAGGGCCGAGGTCGATTCCATTGGCGCCATTTGTGTCTGCATGACAGACCGTGCACGTAAGTTGAGTAAGGCATTGAAAACTGTTTGAAAACTAGTTGCTTCTTTATTTCAGATCATGAATACTCCTTGTACAGAATGTTTGCCAGAGTCTTCAAATGGTAGCATGGGATCGTTTACGGAATTTGAGTGGTTATGATTTAAATGGTCTGGAGTCCAGCTTCATTTCAGTTTAAATGTAGGGTGTTTCGACCTCGACCAGAAGGTAAATAGAAGAGTAGGCTCAGCAGCAGAATACTAGAGAGAGAAAGTACGTGAACACCAAAAGAACATTAATGTTTTATGCATATATAAATGTTTACATAAATTGCATTACAGTGTATAGTAAACATTACCTATATTCTAGTTGTTTTTTCATGTATTTTTGCGAAGTCTTAGTGTTTATTTAGTGTCATAATATATAGTAATGAGTCTCAGCGTTACAGTGTTCTAATAACTGATGCGTTTTGGAACTAAGTGGTGCGGTCTGATTAGCATAATCATTGGGATGAAACAGTTTATATAGCAAGCGTTTGAAGCTTATAATAGAGTGACAGGTCCTTATTTCTAGGGGTAAACTGTTCCAGATCTTAGAATATATGACCATGAAGAAGTTTGCACCGAGTGCTGTTTTACAGCTTTTCCTAGATACTGTGCGCGCGATTCTGATCGGACGTCACAATCTCTCTCCTTAACGTGGATATATTTTTACTGATTTCTGGAATATTGTAGTGGATATTATACCACTCATCAACTTTAACTTATATTGGCTGCTACCTTAGCTTCCAAATACGCAGTTATATCACCGCCAGTTATCAAGTTTGGATCCACTCTTTTGCAGTGCTCATCCTCCTTTTTTATAATCTAAGAACAACGTCACACTAAAGAAAACTATAGAGAAGTTTATAATTTTTTGGTTTATAAATCAGGATCAATTTTTTAGGACAATTGGTTTCTATATAATCTGTATTTTACGGTTTAATACTTTTGTCGATTTATTGTTTATCTATAAGCAATAAGATCCATACCGTGCCTATAGTAGTTCTTAGTCTATATATCCACTCGATATATTATTTGTCCTTATACTTGTTTTCGATTTAGCTCAGCTTCTACTTCAAACCATACTGATCCGTGTTCAACAATGACTCAACGCAATAAACGAGTACTTTCTATACGTAAGAATAGTTTAGGTCACTCAGCTAAGAAGATACGTACATCCCTACACGTTCCACCTAGCCTCAACAACGTCCCCAAAGTCATTGTGTCCGATTTGTTATCAGAGGTATACGCAACTGCTAAACAAAATAAGTTGGACCTTATATCTCTAGGAAACTCTGTGAAGGAATTAAATGATAATATAAACACCATTAAGCCGTTACTGCTTCTATGTAACCCAACTCATGATAGTAATCCAGAAAGTCTGCTGAAGGCTGAGCGTATGTTAGACTTTATAGCCAATGAAGTGACTAAACGAATCTTGTCTTCGTACAATGTTCTTGCTTACAATCTGCCTGATCGGACGCCTCTGGACAAAATTAAAGTGACATGTCTCCAAGCGTGCGGTATGCCATCAGCGGATTGCCACCTAATCAGACTCAGGAAAAAATCAGGAAAGTATACTTGTCCTGTGCTGTTTAAATTCAGTAGTCCTAATGATGCTAGGAAATTCCAGTCGTCTAACAAGTTAATTAGTTCATCTACACCTTTTGGCAACGTTAAACTTACTCATGACCTAACTCCATGTCAAAGACGTAGCCGCGCAAGTGTATCAAATGTCGCAAACACATACGTAACTGCAGAATGTCCTACAAAAGACTCTCTCGCCTTAGATTTAAGTATACCTAATGTTACAGACACGCGTGAAAAAGAAATACCCTTAAATAATAAAGCTTTACCTAGTAAACTCAACAGTGAAGCAAATATGGCCATAGACTTAGATGCATCTTTAGAGTTATGCTCGCTAGACACATCACCATCAGCTGCTAATACGACTACGCAAAAGGCTAAGCTTGAGAATGTAGCATTCAGTATAACCTCCCCGAGTAGTACTCACAGTAGTGTGCACACAAAACGGAGTAATATAACCCTGCCTTCACTCAAACCCGTCACTGATAGGTTACTCAGCAGCAAACCAAATAACACTAACTTAAGTGACTCCAATCCCACCATTAACCCAGGGAAGCTGAATAAGTCTTCATACCACCATAAATATAACGTCAATGAAAGGAGAGGTAACCCGCCAATTCATCCAACATCGAGCAAATCTTCATCCGTTAGACAAAACAGACGCTATATGTCTGGGCACCCTAAAAATAAGTTGAAACCCTACGGGCAGGCATGCACCTACCCCGACACAACTCTCCTATCTATGGCTAATGTAGACAAAAGTTTGATCCAGAGACCCATACAACAAGGAACAAGTGGGTTAGGCTTCTTTCCTAAAAGCGGCCTTCTGACTCACCACATCCCTGACAACCACCGGATACAGTCCACCCAAGATAATCGATGGACTAATATTTACGAAAATAACTTGAACACACAAAATATTAATCATAACTGCGATGCGCGTAACTTTACTCCAGCATACTATCCACAAGAAATACCTACCTCCCCTTCATCCAATCTAAATTTTCTCAGCCAACACGAAATTTCAGCCTCAATATTGACGCAAATAGCACACATACTGTCAAGCCACTTATCACCGGAGGGGAGGGCGATGCATTTCAGTCACGGTATTATGAACACCTCTCACCCGCCGGGGTAACCAACGATAGCACATCTCTCTGTGCTGATACTGGTGTAGTGCACTTTTCTAGCACTGCCAGTACGTTGCCACCATCTGAGTTAGCACCCATCAAACAATCTGCTCTAGATGCTACAAACCTTGAGGAAAACTTTTTTAAAGATATATGCGAATTCATCGTCACCCCTAACTCTCTCTCATTCTGTCTCATCAATGCTCGCTCCTTACTTAACAAAATGTTTGACTTCACGACATTATCCTTAATGTGCAACCCGTCTCTTATAATGATTACTGAAACATGGTGCACTCCTCAGATATGCGATAAAGATATTTCTATTGATAACTATTACGTATTCAGAGGTGACAGAAACCATGGCAGAGGAGGAGGATGCGCTATGTATATCAGGTCTGATATTAAGGCCACACAGTGCTTCTACCCAGAGCTCATCACAGATAATGACTCAGTCTGGGCTATTCTAAGGCTGTCTCACTCCATTTCCTATCTTATAGGTTGCATCTATCATCCCCCATGTTCAGCTGTTGAAGGTGATATGAAACTTGCTAGCACTTTCGCTTACGCCACTTCACTACCTCACACGGCTAAAATTATATGTGGGGACTTTAATATGCCTGAAGTAGTCTGGCAACCACTTTCCTCACCAAAACGGTATCATGAATTTTTTAACATAATAGAAACAAAAGACTGGCAACAACACGTACAGCATCCTACCAGGCTATCTAAGATTTTAGATTTAGTTTTCACTAATGGTATCATCCCCACTACCCTTCGAGTAGGTAAAGAGTTTCCTGGTAGTGACCACAGAGTAGTGTTAGGTACATTCAATATTTGCACTAGCATGAGTGCGACAATAAGTGCCAACAAAGTATTACTCAGGGGTTACAGACACGCTCAGTGGGATGACCTGAAACCATACCTACGCACCCTAGACTGGGGACCATACTTTACATGCAGCTCGGCTATAGAGGCAAACAACTTACTCTACGAGAACCTAGGATTTGCACATGACTTCATCGCTCCAGCAAGACTTGTGAAAACGAGGCCTAAACAGCCTGACTTCATCCCCGTAAAGATTCGAAACCGACTACGTAAGCATGCTAGGCAATTCTACAGATGTAGTGACTTTTCATCACTCATTACACTCAAGCAAACTTATGATTCATACAAATCTAATCAGTTATCTGAGTCCATCAAACTAGAACGCATCCTCCTTTCACGGCCCGATAATACAGAGGCATTGGTAAAACTAATCAAGTCACGAATTAACAACAACAGAATAAGTATCCCTAACTTATTACTAGATGGAGAAAAACTATACGAAGACCCACAGGAGATATGCGAGTTATTCAGCTCCCACTTTTCTAGCTACTTTACTAACGAAGAAACAGTAGGTAGCCTTGATGTTCCGATAATACCATATCACTTTTTGGGTAATATAACATTTACCCAACAAAAGATTTCCTCCGCTATAGCATCCCTCCGGACATCATATAAAGCTGGACCTGATGGAATTCCATCTATCTTGTTGAAAAGAGGTGGTGAGGACATACCCATTATCCTCCTAAAGTTTTTCAATCTGTCCTTAAATAATGGCAGTTACCCAGAGTGCTGGAAGCTGTCGTTTATAACCCCTAGGCACAAACTAGGACCAACTTCTAATATCGAAAACTACCGACCGATCAATATCACGTCAGTAGTTTCTAGGGTTATGGAAAAAGTTGTAGGGCAAGATATTGCTTCATACCTCCACCTTCACAAATTGTTTACTCCAGCACAACACGGCTTCTTGAAAAGTCGATCATGCTCCACCTGCCTACTTGACTACTTTGATGATGTTACCGCTAAGCGAGATCATGGTTTGCTTGTCACAACCCTCTTCTTTGACTTCAAAAAAGCCTTTGATAAAGTCCCACACAAGAGACTAATCCTTAAGCTAAAGTCGTACGGGTTCCAGGACCCCTTGTTATCCTGGCTCATTTCTTTCTTGGAAGATCGTTCCCAAGTTGTGAAATTTGCAAATAATTACTCGTCACCCAGACCCATACGAAGTGGAGTAATTCAGGGTAGTGTACTAGGTCCATTGCTTTTCGTAATCTACATTAACGATATCTGCAGCGTAATCAAGCATGGTACCCCATACCTCTTTGCTGATGACTTAAAGATTGTATACAGCTTCCCCCATTCTACAATGAACGAGGGATTCACACATATTCAAGATGATCTGGATAGATTACATAACTGGAGCACTGATTGGCAACTGCCATTCAATTCTGATAAATGTGGTGCCTTATATTTCAATAACTCCCACCCGTATTTCAGGTTACACCTAGGTGACTCCTCTCTCCAAACCCTCAATTCCATAAAAGACCTGGGAGTTACCTACTCACAGAACTTAACATTTAGTCAGTATGCAAAAGCACTTGTTTCTAAATGCCGAAGACTCACAGGCTTGTTACATCGAAAAATGTACACAACTGAGGCTAAAGTCCTTTTATACAAAGTCATGGTTCGCCCAGTAATTGAATACTGCACAATTGTCTTCGGTTTCATGAATGGGTATGACAGGGTTCGTATTGAAAATATTCAGCGAAGTTTTACACGACGCCTATTACACAAACATGAAGGACTGACTTACGCGGATAGGTGCAAAATGTATAGACTTCAGCCACTTTGGTTAAGGCGCCTGAAACTCAACCTTACATTCCTTTTTCGCCTTTTACACGGCTACCTCAAAAGCAGTAATCCAATAGCTTTCAATAATTTAACCATATATACTC